TATATATATATATATATATATATATATATATGGAGCGATAGCACAGCGGGTAGGGCGTTCGCCTTACACGCAGCCGACATGGCCAACCCGAGTTCGATTCCTCCGCCCCTCTCGGAGAGCCCGGCAAGCTGCCGAGAGTATTCGATATGCCAGACACAGTAACAACAAAGTCTCCAATGGAGACGTTACTGGGCCCGCTCGAGCAAATCGACGATCAACGGGAGGGCCTTTACCTTACCTTTATATAGCAAGAAATATATCAGAAGCCTGACACATGTAAGGTGCTCTCATATAAATTTTTATAAAATCATTATGAAATAGTAATTATTACTTTTATGACTGTTACCTGATAAAGAGATTGTGACAAAAGACCTGTTAGGTAATTTTCCAAGTGTCACACTTCTATATGAGGATCCCAGCTTGACATTTCTGGAGCTATGGTCCCAACTACACCGTAGAACTTACTAACCAGAAAGGCTAAGAGGTTAGGTGTCTGAACTGAAACTTTGGACCACAAGTCAGGGAATAAACACTCAGAAAATCTTAGTTAATATGTTCTTGATCACCTTGTGTGTAACATTGTTCTGCTTGTTTCCTCCAAAGCCCCTAACCCTAACATGCACACAGGCTTGTACTTAGCAAAGGTCCCTGCCCCAACACACACACACACAAACACACACACACACACACCGCTGTGTATGTGTGCACTTTGGCAGTGGGAGTCAGGGTGGGGCACAGGATTTGGATAGAGTCTCATAAACATCCGAGCTGTGAGAGCAGCTGTGTGATCTTGCGGAATGATTCTCGCTTCAGGACTGTGTGTTGACGCTGATGTCACGGCTGCTCTAAGCACCCCAGATACTGTTAACGAGCTGTTCCAAGCCCAGATGCAGTATTTTCTCACCATATGGCCCACACTGAAGTGCATGGTCTTTCAGACAAGGAATAGAACTCCAAAATGCTCCACCCCTGTGCTTGGAAAACCTATTTAGAGGAGCAGTTCTCTCCAAACCATCATACCCCCACCCACCCAGTTCTCCTGCTTTCTGGAGACCATGCATTTATTTATACATCCATGCACCAAAAATAATCTGTCCACTACCATGTGGCAGGTGCTGGATTAGGCTACACTGGGGTTCAAAAGGGGAATAAAATGGCACCCTTGGCTCTGAAGCTAATTGTGAAGGGCATGGGAGCAAATTGTACTGACATTATTTTGTCTGTAAAATAGGTCATTATCAAGATCTCTGGGAATTAAAAAGTTAGTGAAAATATTTGTAACAGAATGAAGAAATTTGCACACCCAGCATCTAAATGCTTTTCCTATTCAGTTAAAGAAACCTGTAATTGGATACATAACAGATGCTTCGTAGTACTGATTCCCAATTAGATGTGGTACCTTTCCTCCAATCCAGCTTCTTTCACACTATTCTCCACATCTCTTCAACCGTTAGCTCAGACCAACAATCTTGGGGTTATTTATGAGGGCCATTCTTGTACAAACGTTTTCACATCACAAAGAACTGTTGACCTTGGGGGTGGGGGATTCTTATTGATGCTTAGAAACTATTTCCTATGTGATACTTAGGGTATTGTCAGGGCTCAGAGAATCATATGTGGTAGAGAGCAAATTTGGGGCTTTTGCAATCAAAGTATATGCTCCAGTCCTTTGAGCCATGTCCCTGGCCCATTTGCCTGATCTTTAATATGCATTCCAGGCTGGAGTAGTAGTCCAGCAGGTAGGGCGTTTGCCTTGCACACAGCCGACCTAGGCTCAATTCCCAGCACCCTATATTGTCCCCTGCACCGCCAGGAGTAATTCCTGAGTGCATGAGCTAAGAGTAACCTCTGTGCATCGCCTGGTGTGACTCAAAAAGAAAAAAAAATTATGGGATCTCTCCTTAGTTGCTTGGCTTCATTCTCCTATAACATGATGGTCAAAGCCATTCAGGCTCCTCTGCCTCTTTTCTGGTGCATTTTCCAGAAGTCTTGTCCTCAATCCCCTTTGTACTAAGCACTGACCCCTTGTCATCAGTCCCCTTTGTACTAAACACACACACACACACACACACACACACACACATACACACACACACACACACACACACACTCTTCTATACACAATGGCTTATTGGTTGACTGCCATTTCGTCCCAGATGCTATGGATAAAAGACTGGAGCTCCACAAAGATCTTAACAGATGGTAGCAATTAGCTGAAGTGAAGGAGATGAATTTGAATGGGGCTCAATGTAAAGACAAGCACCAAGGCCTAAGAAGTGGGTGGGCAGAGAAAGGATGAGAGGAAAAATATCACTGCTCTTCCTCTGCATAAGAAAACATTAACAAGCAAAAATACATCAGAAGAGCTAAAATCTGGAAAGGGTCACATAAAAATATCTTCAGGTAATTTTTGTCTAAACACCCATTCAGTATTTTCATCCTATGAGATGAGTCTCTCCAATGGAGATGAAATTAAAATACTTCCATGAGTTCTTCACATTCATTCTGACTGAGCTAGGCTCCAGGCACTGACCTCCAGATGAGAAAGTGTGGTTGACTGATACTGCATTGAATCAGAATATACTTTGTTTTCTAAATCTGTTCCTTAATTCCTATGTGGTTCAGCTTTTCCATTTGGTTAAAGATAAATACCTTTCCTTACCTTTCTCATAGGATGACTATACCAATGATCTTGTAGCCCTTGCTTAAGTTAAAACAAAATTCAGCACCAACTGATTTAAGTGATCTGCTTACATTATCACAGTGATTTAGGTGATTTCTTGCAATATCACTGTATCGCTATGTCACTGTCATCCCATTGTTCATTGATTTGCTCAAGAAGGCACCAGTAACGTGTCCATTTGTCCCAGCCCTGAGATTTTAGCAGCCTCTCTTTACTCATCCTTCCCAGTGGTGCCTTACTGGAGGCTCTTTCAGGGTTAGGGGAATGAGACCCATTATTATCACTGTTTTTGGCATATCGAATATGCCATGGGGAGCTTGCCAGGCTCTGCCATGTACTTGCAATATAACATATTTATTTGCATTATCTTCACTATAATCCTATAAAATCAGGGTTATGTTAACCCCATATTTGGGATCAGAAAATTGAAATTCCAGGTGTTTTTAGTAATTTTATTGAGATGACATGGGTATTCAGAACTCTTAAACTGTGCATTTGTCAGTCCTAAAAACTTTCTTTTTCTACTACTCTCTATTAGGTAGTTAAATGTGGTGAAATTCAGGCAGACTCCAATATGATGGCACTCAGGATACTTCGGGGAATACGTCATTCCAAGACAAACATGGTTATGAATGGCCAGGGTTATTACTTTGCTTTGAAAACCCCATTCTGCTGATTATCATCACACTCTAACAACAACTAGCTCTCTGTGAATTTCTCTACCAGGGAAAATCCTCTTGCCTAATAAAAGTGCTTGAGGAGAAAGCTCAAAACCCAGTAGCAATTAATTATTGACAAAGCATGTGAATTAAAGATAAAAGAAAAATCGTTCTTGCTCCACACATGCTATAGTAAATAAATTTAATTATGGTTAGAAGCTAAGGGATCCTCGTCCATATTAAGTTTTATTAGCGGAGACATTTAAAAGCATGTCATCATAACAAAGAGGTCTTGTGTAATCCTAAATGTACCACTTTGGTGCATGGCTCAGAAGTGAATAGACTTAATGGAGCACATGGTGGCAGATGGCCTGCGGTACTGACAGGTATTGAGCAGGTTTATCATCAGTTAGCCTCAGTCTGCATATGCCTCTAGCAAATTGACTGTGTAATGGAATCACAAGCTCCATAATAGTATCCACGGGCCTGACATATTAGGATTAGGGCGTGAGTCCTGTCGAACTCCCCCCAATATCTTGAGGCTCCCCAATGAGACCCTCTGTCAAAATGAACAGGAATGGAGAGCTGTGTTTGAAGTTTGGCAAGAAAACCCAAAGACATGGACCTGCATGTGTGATCTATCACTGGCTCAAAAGACAACTTTAGAATTGAAGCAAGAATGAGATCCCTAGGTGCACTCTGGGATTTCTTTCGTGGGACACTCTGACACTCTCTGTCAGTGTAGTCCTGACTGATCTTGAAGGAAGTTTCAGATCAGATCAAATGAGGGAGTTGAGACTTGGAGCATTAATTCAACTTTCTGAGGACATAGAACCTATAGAATGCCCATGTTCATTCCCTTACTTTTGGGTCTTAGTTATTTCATTTTCAGGTGATCACTGTCACTCCGTTGCTCATCAATATGCTTGGTTTGTGTGTCAGATGGTCACTATTACAATTACTCAATTCTGCTTATAGTACAAAAGCAATCATAATCTCAAAAGGAATGAGTGTGGATACATTTCAATGAAGCTTCATTTTGAGCACAGAAATCGGAATTTTGTATACTTTTCCTGTATCACAAAACACTGTTATTTGTTTTTCCCCCTACCATTTAAAGATTAAAATTCACACTTAGCTGCAGGCTCTAGTGAAACAGGAGGCAAGGAGTAGTTTGTCAACCCCTGGACTAAATAATCTATGAGGTCTTGTTGAGCTCAACATTTTCCAAAATCCACTACAATAATAACAACCTTGATTTATTAAACTCTTATACATGCCAGATTCTGTTAAATACTTTACAAACATTATCTTCTTTAGTCCTTATACTGTAGTGTGAAGGAGGTGTTCTCATTATCTCCCTTTCAGAGTGTCTAGATCTAATATATGGAGTAACAAGAATATATCTGGGTTAAATATAATTGGTAAGAGTGAAAGCAGTAATTTAGCTCGCATAAAATTTTCAAGAATAGATGCATCAGCCTTAGACTGCCTTTTCTGATAATACTTTAGCCAGAACTAAATTTTAAAAATAACTTCCAAGTGCTTATCAATGAAGAGCTCCACACAGGGCTATGTGCTTGACATAACTAATGCAAATCATTAAAGTAGTTCTCCACAGGAATAACCTCTCTCTTTCTGTTTCCTCCCTCTTACAGAAATGTGATGCCTAAGACAGTGGATGGACAGATAACCATGGAGAAGACCCCCAGTTACTTTGTGACTAATGAGGCTCCGAAGCGCATCCACTCCATGGCCAAGGACATCAAACTGATTGTGGTGGTGAGGAACCCTGTGACCAGGGCCATCTCTGACTATACCCAGACTCTGTCAAAGAAGCCTGAGATCCCCACCTTCGAGGTGCTGGCCTTCAAAAATCGGACCCTGGGGCTGATCGATGCCTCCTGGAGTGCCATTCGGATAGGGATCTACGCCCTGCACCTGGAGAACTGGCTCCAGTACTTCCCCCTCTCCCAGATCCTCTTTGTCAGTGGAGAGAGACTCATAGTGGATCCGGCGGGGGAAATGGCCAAAGTCCAGGACTTCCTAGGCCTGAAGCGGGTGGTAAATGAGAAACATTTCTATTTCAACAAAACCAAGGGATTCCCTTGCCTCAAGAAGCCGGAAGACAGCGGTGCCCCGAGGTGCTTAGGCAAGAGCAAAGGCCGGACTCATCCCCGCATTGACCCAGATGTGATCCACAGACTGCGGAAATTCTACAAACCCTTCAACATGATGTTTTACCAAATGACTGGTCAAGATTTCCAGTGGGAACAGGAGGAGGGTGACAAATGAGGGTGGCGAGGTGGCGGGAAGGCAAGGGGATATCTCTGGGTGCTCCTTAACTGAGTCCCAATCACCCAGGCTTTGCTGCCTCAGCCTTGCTGGAAGGTCACATCCATCTCTTCCTTTGACTGGTCAGGATTGTCTCCAATCCTATTGACCTAGGCGAAGTGATGGATCCCAGGGTGCTCCTCATGGAGGAACCAGGTCTGCCTGGGAAGAAGCATCTGGTTAACCAGACAGCTACCTAGGACCACCAGTAAAACTCTGTCTTCTGCTAGTTAATAGAGTCTGAAGACAGGATAAAGAGCTATCTGGGTCAGAGATAGTGCCATAAATGTGTAAGTGATAAGACCAGAAAGGAAGGTCTACTTTTAGGGAGCTCTCACCTTAGGAAGCCTGACTTCTAGCCCTCTAGCAGAAAAAGGTCCTTGCTCTATAAATCTGTACTTTGGCCTCTCTCCAGAATGCTAATTGTGGCTGAGAGCTCCAGGACTCCCAGGGAGCAAGGTTCTCCCGCTGTGGGGCCTCTAGCCTTTACCTTAACGATCTCATCCTACAACCCATTGGCTTCCTCCCATCTCATCTTATGAAGGCAGAGGCATGCACGTTCCCTACCAAAAAATTTAAAAAATAAAAGAAAATCGAACACCCCTGAAAGCCTTCTTTCTAAGGGTCCTCAGAGGAGGGTTGAATCTCTCTCTTCATGAGTACTGTGGATTGTGGCAGAGCTTAGCTTCTACCACTGTGGGAGAATCCAGCCCACACTGCTGATCTCCAAGCTGAGTCCTGAGGTTGGTAGAGGAATGCCATATCTAAGATGGAAAACCAGAAGCCCATCTCCTTCATGGGCAGCCTCCTTGTCTCCAAAATATCCCTCCCCACATTGCAAAATGGTTGTGAAACGTGCTTTGGGGCGGAGGTTCTGTGGAGTACCCAGAGAGGCAAGGACCAGGAAATTGGCATGTCTTTTGTTAAAAGTAATCTTTAGTAATGCAACCAAGTGCGGGTCTATCACCCTTTTTCCATTTGCACCACCGCCCTTCTCATGGTCACATCATGCTTTATCCCCTCAATTGAGAGACGGCACGTCAGGGGCAGTGGCAAGAGAGCTGACGACATTTGTCAGATCCAGTTTTGGGGGTGGGGAGGGCATGGGTTGTATGTGGACACCCCCCTTCAAGGGCTGTTGAATCAAGTGCCCCTTCCATTCACTTGATTGAATTAAAATGCAACATTTGACATGAAGCACTTGTTCACAAATCTCCAAAACCAGGAATTGTTCTAGAAAATTGGAAATATGTATGAGTCGGGGGACTTAAATCTGTTCAGCTGTTATTAAACTGTCATTTCTCCCGCTAAATGAAAACTGTGTTGTTATAAAGCTTAATGCAACCTCAGCATTGGGTTTCAGTGGTGTGTTTGTGTTAGCCATCCCTGCCCCCTTCCCCTGCCTCCAATTCCTTCTTAAACTGGAGAGTCTTTCAGGGGATTCTTTCTATCTGTGGAGTATTATGATTCTTGAACTCGGATCAAAGAAGTGGTTCCTGGAAATGCCTCCTGTCCTCGCCAATCAAAACAAGGAATGAACTGCTGTGCCAGTTTCAGAAGCTATATTAGAAATATTTTTTGAGATATAAAGTGGTTACTGGGCAACCTATATGCTTTCACTACCAAAGAAAAAGAAAAATAAAAGCAACCATAAACACTCATGCACACACAGACATGCATGCATGCCTACTTGAAATGCACGTTTGTTCAGATGAAGATGTTGCCAGCTGCCCAATTTGAGGACCTTGTTTCATGCAGATAGATAAGGAGTGTGACCAGATCTAGAGCAGAGACCCCTATGGCGTTTTTCAAGCTGCTGCTCCCTGAACTCTAATTCAGAGTTCTTGATGATTTGGAATTTCTGTTGTGGGGAGTGGTTTAAGTCATATATACCTTTGAAAATCAGGGTTGAGGACAATTTTCTTTTTTTTGAGGACAGTCTTCCATGTACATTTCTTTGCTTTCTCTCCTCCTCCTTGGAAATCTCTGTTAGTGTTTTCTGGAGCTTACTTCCAATCAAAATGATTCCTATGTCCTTTGAAGAAATTAATGAAAATAACACCTCTCTCTCTCTCTCTCTCTCTCTCTCTCTCCCCCTCCCTCCCTCCTTCATGTGCACACATGTGCACGTACACACACACACACACACACACACACACACCACTTCCTATCTCTCACGTTTGGAAATATAATGGTGATCTTACTACCCATGATGTATTCGATATGCCAGACACAGTAACAAGTCTCACAATGTTACTGGGCCCGCTTGAGCAAATCCATGAACAACAGGAGGACAGTGACAGTGACTACATATGCTTCCTAAGTAGTGTCTGGTAATAAAGTTTCAAAGGTGTTTCTGCCATCAAAAATGACTACCCCCACCCCCACCATCTCTTCTTTCTGAGCAGATACACAATGACTCAACCTCTCAGACACCCCTTTGCATTGTTTATCTCTCTGTTTCTGTAAGTTCAGAACATTAGAATCTTAAGAGCTAATATTTAAAAGGAAATCCAGTAAGGGGCCAAGAGCTAGCTTGAGGGCTAGAAAATGTGCCTGACAAGAAGAGACCCCAAGTTTACTCCCTAACACCATATACTGCCCCCCTCAGCTCAGCTGTGTATAGTCTTGATAGCTCACAGCACCTCTGGGTCTGTCAGCATCACATCATCAGAATACCACTCCCGGCCCCCCTGAACACTTCTTGAGAGACCCCCACACACAAAAAAAATCCATAAATAAATAAAACAAACAAATCTGTTATTTAATGTGGCTAACAAGAATGGTTAATAAACCATTCTTGCCTGGGAAATAAAAGCCTCCTATCACCCCTTAAAGTATGCACATATTTTAACAGTAAGCTAAAATTCTCTGGAGAAATAAGACTGAGGCCTAAGCCCAGAGATCTTGAGGATTTTATTCTATGGATCTGTTTGGCAATATGGTTGAAAGCTCATGATTCGGAAAAGAAATGCAAACTTGACATGTTTAAGTTTTATTTTCTGCAGTGTCTACTCTAACTTGATCCGTGTCACTCTGGGGGTGAGTCACTAATCCAGGTCCCCCCTTTCTTCACTGTGAAAATTTGACAAAATATTATTTTCTACCCAGAAAAGCTAAGTGAACCTGCTAAGGAGCTAGGTTAATAATACATACACCCCATTTAAACGCATGCATGACAACTCACGGCAGATTGAATTTTGTATTTGATTTCAATTAGCAAAGAATAAATTATTTTTAATTTCCTCATCCCCTCGCTTCCCTTGAAGGGAGGACCCACGGCTCTGGAAAGAGGGACCAGCATTACTCAGAGACAAGAAAAGGTGCGTTCCTCCTTCCAGATGGTATGCCAGCCATTGTACCCACATGCATTTAATCTCCTTCCTCATTATGGATTCTGAATGGTGGGAAAGCCCTGATTTGCTGCTTAGATCTATGACTTCAGAAACCAATAATCGGGCTAGAAAAACACTCAGCAGGGATTTTTGTCAACTGTCTGTGAAAACAAGGGCTTCAGAGTTGTGAAGTCACAACCACTGAGTGGGAATGTCTTGCAACCTCCGAGAACTTTCTATGGTTTAAGTTCAGGGGTGTGTGTGTGTGTGTGTGTGTGTGTGTGTGTGTGTGTGTGTGTACGCACGCGCACATGAGCGCGCCCTGGGGAGGTCTGGGTTCTCAGAATTCTAATCAGAGTCACACATTAGATGGCGGTGATGATGGCCACAGCTACAGGGATGGTGCAGAGCTCATGAGAAGAGGAGGGAATGGGAAGGGAATGAGAAAGGAAGGGAATGGGAATGATATTCATGAAGTGGAAGCAGAATGGGAGGACCCTGAAACCTCTTCCAAAACAATACTCCTTTAGAGTATACCAAAGGTAGGCAGTTTTTACATAAACTGAGTATGAGACACAAAGAGTAAATGAACTACCACTGATTTGATTCAATGTCAAGTCTGGAAGAAAGTGTCTGTACAAACTGCATCAAATCAGCATTTCAGGAATTGACACGCAAAACCTTAGACTCCAGGGTAGGACACGTTCCCTACCCCAAACCCAGACAGGGTCTCATTGTTCTGGATTTTCCTTTGCTCCCCACTCAAGATGGTTCAATTACAGTAAGCACTGAGGTTTATTTCAGCAAGACCAAATAGGCCCTCTTTAGATTCAAGAGCAGTTTTCTAGTCTCTGAGTTATGAATTCTGGGCTTTGAGTGCTGGTCCTAAAAGTTCACATGGAAGATAAAGAAGGTTGAGAACTATCTCGGGCTCTCAGAAGCAGATCACATGTTTCTGGAAGAAAAGTGAAATTAAGGAACCTCCTCAATCTCACTTTGTGCAAAAAAAAGAATGGGGGTAGGGTGAGATGAAATTGTATGATTTGCAACTATGCAAAGTGTTTGAGGATGTATTATTTTCAGACATAAGAGGTACATGAAACCACTTTTTTGGTAGTGGGGAACATTTTATGTGACAAGACTATATATCATCTGTCATCAAGGTGAGAAATAAAGGTCAAGAAAATGGAGGAAATGGATGCCTATCTAAAGAAGATGGACAAGAGTCTCCAGGAATCCTGGACACCAGATACACAGCACTGGTGTAGAGTCAGTCAAGGTTCAAGGTTCATTGAGGCTTTTAACTCCCTGATGAGGCAGAGTGGCATAATGGCAAGGGAATGAGATATGGGAGAGAGAACAGCAGCCTTGAAAACGGTCCTGAGTTTGTGGGGGAAATAGACATGAAAAACAATCCTGTGGTGAAGGTTTACCTTGCTCTGAGTGGTAATTCTGTGGTACCATGAAACATGGTGGGATGAGAGTTAATTTGGCCAAAGGAAGGACCACTAAGTATAGGTACCATTTAAGAGCACACACTACTGCATTTGGTGTCATCCCAGAAATAAGACTGTTTCTGTTCTGCTCAAGAGTTAGGCTAAAGCTGAAAGAGGTGGCACTGTCAAAAACTAAATGCATCAAAATATAAGGTTGGGTGGTTAAGAAGGGAAAAATAACAC